TATCTCGGATACCTCCTACCCCCTGCCTGCCCCGCCCACCTGCATTCTCATTGGCCGTGCCACTACGATCCCAGCTCCCATTGGCTGCTGTTGCCACACCCTCGTCTCCTCCTTATCACGGCCCCAGCGCCCGATCTGTGGACGAGCAGCCCTGTCACTCACCGGTTCAAGCCTGGCGCCATCCCACCCCCCGGTGACTCATCCCCCTCTCTATTGGCCACCCCGGATACTGGCCGCCTGCTATTGACAGAATCTCTCCTGCCTATTTTCCATTGGACAATGAATTTATCAATCTACAGCCAAGAGTCCCGCCCAAGGGGGGGAAACGTGGCGGCGCCTTCCCCCATCCTGGAATGGTCATTGGCTGGCTAGACTAAGACCTCCCCTGCCGCGATTGGTGCTAGGAGGAAGGGACGGCCCCCAATGTGGTGGGCGGGGCGAGTGACTCATTCAGCCAGGCAGGGAACATGTGACCATAACACTGTAGCAGCGCGGGCCCCCAGCTGGCTTGGTGCGGTGTGTGCGGAATGAGCGTGGGGACAGCGCCTGGGGCTGCAGAGACCTTGCGCGGGGCTGCAGACGGGCTGGGGGGTGCCCTTTGGGACGGGGCAGGGGCTGCAGGGGGACCCTGCTCGAGGCTGCGGACGGGCTGGGGGGCGCCCCTTGGGACACCTCCCTCCTCTGGGCCGTAAACAACGAGCGGCGTCAGGCTGCAGTAAGGCTGTGTCCTGAGCATCCCCTCTACGTACCCCAAGCTGCCTTCTCGGGCTCCCCGCCTTCCGCGTTGCCAGGCCACTGCCCGTGGGACCCAAGACCGCGGACTTCCTCGCTGTGAGGACGCCGAAATGGCACCTGGGAGGCAGGCAAAAGAACCCAGTCCAGACCCCCGTACCGTATTCAGGAGGGAGACTAGCTCTCTGAGGACTGATCCTGCTGGGAATCCACCTTCTCGCTGCCGAGAGAGGGGCTGATAACGCACAGGCACCCATCTGTAAGATTAACTCCCCCCCCCCCAACAAAAAAAACAAACCCTCTCACACGTGTCCTTACTGGGATCAAGTCCCTGCTGAAGAGCCTTTCTGCCGCAAGGTGACTGGCAGGTGACACAGAAATGGTCTTATTGGCAACTGTTCCTCCACACACCATAAAGCTGGAATGTATTAATGAACCAGCATGTAGAAAAAAGAAAGGAGATACAGAGGGAATTATCCCAGGGAGTAATCCCTGACAGGAGCTCTGTAGCTTTACAAATAGATGCATCATCTCTGCAGTTCATGCTTTTACAGATTCCCCCCCACCCAAAAAAAGGGGGTATTAGCAAGGCATAGGTCTCTCCTCTGGTAAGTTGAGCTTGCAAAGCCAATGGAGGTCTAGGTCTACAGGAAACCTTGCTGCTGCAGGAAACTGTAGGACAGGGGCACTCAGAAAGGGACAGCCACCAGCATGATGCTAGCTAGGGTTTGCTGGGAAGCAGGGAGCTCAGCAGGGGACTATCCCATTACATCCCACACCCTAACACAGCAGTAGAGGGTGCTGTGCACTTTATAGTATAGTACTGAATTTTGGAGAAGGACATAGAGCCAACCTCTTCCCCTTATAATACAGCTCCACTGATGGTCTCTAGGGGTATGTCTATACTACAAAATTAGGTCACATTTATTGAGGTTGACATTTAGCATCCGAATTTATAAAGTTGAAGGAGCTACCTGTGCAAAGGAGAAGGTGAAGAGACCATGCATACAGCAGTACAGGAACCCAATGAAGGGAGCAATTGGGATATGCTGGCAGACACAGCAGAACTCTGATTCTGGTCCCAGGAATCCAGTGCAGATTGGTGGGAGCACACAGTTATACAGCTATGAGACGATGACCAGTGGCTGCAAAACTTTCACATGCAGAAGGCCAATTTCATAGAATTTTGCAAATTGCTTCCCCCCACCTGGAAGCACCAGGTTGAGAAGCAAATGGCCATAGCTTGGTGAAAGTTTGCAATATTAGACTGCTACTAGTCAGTCAGGAATCAATTTGGTGGGGGTAAATTTGCAATTGAGGCTGCTGTGATCCAAGTAGCCAGGGCAATCAATACCCTTCTGCTAGTGACTCTGAGAAACATGAAGGATATAGTTGATGGCTTTGCCTCCATGAGGTTCTCTAACTGTGGTAGGGCAAAAAGAACACATATTCCTATCTTGACACCAGATCACCTTACCAAAGAGTACATAAACTGCAAGGGGTACATCTCAATGGTGTTACAAATATTGGTGGATCACAAGGGCCATTTCACCGACATCAAACTGGGAAGGTCAGGAAAGGTGCATGACACACACATCTTTAGGCACTCTGGTCTCCAGAAAACTGCAAGACAGAACTTTCTTCTAAGACTGGAAAATTAACTATTGGCATTTCAATGTCACCGATAGTTACCCTCAGAGACCCAGGCTACCCCTCGCTGCCATGGCTCATGAAGCCAGACGCCAGCAGCCTGGATATCAGTAAGGAGCAGTTAAACTACAGGCTGAGCAAGTGCATGATGGTGGTAGAATGTCCCTTTGAGCATATAAAGGGGTACTGGTGCAGTTTAC